GTGCAGTCTTTGTCTTCATATATACACTTGGGAATGGTTATGTTTGCATCAATTCCTTCCTTGGTTACTGCGCTTTTTATTGGGGCTTGGACAGACATGGTGGGACGTCGACCTGCCTTAGCGTTACCAGCTATTGGAAGTTCCATTGAGGCTGTTATTGTGCTATTAACAATGTCCTTAAAGTGGCCAATTTATGTGTTGTTTGTGGGAAGTGCTATTAATGGCTTGTGTGGATTCTTTACTACAGTGGCAATGGCCACGATGGCATACATTGCTGACACCACAAATGAGTCTGACAGGAGTTTTCGTCTTGGTAGGTGTATAATTGACCTTAATTTGCATAAATAGAATACAGTCATGAACACCCATCTAGTCAAGGCAAAAAGCAAAGGCAAAGTCAGTTGCCAGGGGCATAGCCAGCCCATAGACCTGTAGGCCTGGGCCTACAAATTTTTGGTTTGATCACTCTACGGCTTCTAATATGAATTATGCATTGTTGGGTTGAGCTAAAAAGCTTATGGGCTCAAAGAGTTGTTGTCAGGTCGGTGCATACTAGCCATGTGTGCAATTTTCAGGATATGTGGAAATGAAAGTCAGCCAGGCCTACAGCAAGTCGAAAAGCTGGCTATGCTCCTAGTGGCTCTAGTTATTAGGGAGCTTTAGCAAAGGTGTTTTATGGAAGTGAGGCCTTTTCCCCTTTCAATGTTCCTTGAGTGTACCAAATTTGTAGTGCTAAGTGTTTCTACTCTTATAAAGATGATTTGCATGAAAATTTGGACAAAATCCCTGCTCAAGAATGCAAAAAGTCCACTTCCAGTTGATGTGCGTCGTTCAAAATGTCTTTTTCTGTAAGTTCCCTAGTAACTGGCTCTGCTAGAGTGCTTACAGCCCTGAAAGCTACATTCAAGCCATAATTATTCAGACTCCCCCCCCCCCCTTCCTTATGTGTGGCTGAAAGTTAATATACTCTTTAATAAATGGCAAAGGAAGCTTGTAGGTGGGGTAAGAGCGCAGGGAAGGGAGGGGCACGAATGGTGTCTTGCAATTAATAGACTGCTTGAATTTTGTGAGTTTAGCACCTATTAGTCATGGAAGTAATGGTTAAATCCGCCTTCTCTTTTCTGCAGCTTTCATGGAATTCTTAGTGTTCACAGGAGGAATGGTTAGTCAACTCACTAGTGGACTATGGATTGAACACCTTGGTTTTATCGGGCCCTATTGGTTCATCTTAGCCTGCCTTGTCTCTTCTGTACTCTATGTAATTTTTTTCGTCCCCGAATCGAGAGCTACATCTTCTGAACACAAATCAATCTGCAGTCTCTTCAGCTTTGCGAGCATCAACAGAGTGTGGAATGTCTACAAGAATCCGAGAAACGGAGCAAGAAGAAACCTGATCGTCTTCACGTTTTCCTCGGGTGTGATTGTCCTCACTACTCTTGGTATTGGTGGGGTTATGGTGCTGTATGTGCTTCATTCTCCATTGTGCTTCTCTGCAGAGCAGGTTGGCTATTTCTCTGGTTACCGGTTTTTTCTGCAGGGCTTTGGCGCTGTTCTTGGAGTCAAGCTGTTGGGAATGTGTCTTTCTGAAATTAACATTATTAGAGTTGGTATATTTTCTCTTGCTGTGGCTTTAATGATGTTTGGATTCTCAAAAGCTACCTGGCTAGTGTATTTGGGTAAGCGTTTACGTGCATTTGGAACAGAGTGTATGATTTGCAAGTATTCTCTAAAACTTAGAATTATCTTAATGCCTAATTTAGTAATACTTGTATTTAATTTAATACAACAATATTTGCTACAGGATTGAATTTTTTTCCCTCGCAATCGTCACCTGTGCCATGCTCTTCGATAGTAGGGAGGTAACTCGAAAACAAGCCAAGCGAAATATGACGCACGTGAATATTGGCCCTGGGCTTTTTTCGCATTGGTTTTAGTACCAGGGTCTCTGCCAGTACTTGAATACACTATATTCGCGTTTTTAATGATCAAACTTGGTCGCGCAGTTCGTTGAAAATGTTAAATTTAGGCGAATTTACCTGGAGTTGATTCCTTGGGGACCGCACTAATAGAAAAATTCGTCGTCGCTTGTTTACGTCCTCCATAAAAAAAAAATGAAATTAGGCATTTTACGTCGTGGGCGTGCAGCGATGGTAAAGAAATGTACAGAAAAGCGTGATGCACGTGAATTTTTTTCTTTGCTTAATAAACCCATTACTTTTTTGACGTTCTCGTTGCCGTCGCCGTCGTCGTTGCTAAACCCTCCTAATATCTTGGAACCTGGAACAGGCTATCGTTTTCCGCTTGTATTATACTGTAAAAGAACAAAGCACAAAACAAAACACAGCAGATCAAGTCAGTGACGTCAAAAAAGAAAAACAAATGTTAGCAGGTCAAGCGTTATGTCTAGACAGAAAGTTGGAGCCCGTATCAATGGAAATCAAATTCGCTGAACTACAAGAAATACCGTGATTCACAGTTAAGTGAGCCGGTGAAAAAACGGAAATCGTTATCACATACTGGATTCTTGTTTCTTCAAAACAAAAAAAAAACAAGAATTCGAAATCGTCCGTATACGGTGGGGAAACCCGACCTCCCACTAAACCTCCCCCTCTCGTGAGCTGCTGCCCGAGGCTATCAAGAATTAATTTTGATTGATAAGCGCGGGAATTTTTCCATGTTAGCCATTCAACCTTTTTTAATATGAATTTCCCCAACTGCTCCAATAGGAAAAACAAATTGGGAAAGATTAACGCGTTACAGTAAACTCTAAGAGTTATGTCCGTCTTAAAAAGAGTCAAATAAACGGAGTAAAGAAAGGCAGGGACCAACTCTAGGTATTCGTTTTACAGAGGTGTCCGTTTAGGGAGAGTCGACTGTATTACTAATCTCCTTCTGAGATCCTCTTTCAGCGCCTTTGGCCGGTGTATTCAGCGGGGCTGCTGTACCCATTTTCCGTGGAATGATGTCAAGAATAGTTGGTGCCGACGAACAAGGTATCTCTCCTTACCTCACTGTGTTGTGTTTCCCTGTAGTAATATAGTAACAAGGTTTATAACGAGGCCGACCAATCTCGTGCGCAGGTCTTCGCTTCTTTGCTCCACGGTACGGCGAGAAAAAGAGCGAGTTTACAGGTCAACATTCTCGGATGATAGCTTAAAAAAGCCGTATTGCCTCTCTCTCTGCCCTTAAAGGGGCTATTTGCTATCTCAGTCTTGAAAGGCTAAAACCTGTCTTTGCATCAACTGAATTCCACCCAAAAAGATATACTTTGTTATGTAAGACCATGATCTTTTAGGCACTGAAAGTCGTTTATTGCTACGGGTGACAAGGATGGACAGGGATTGAATTGAAAAGTTAGGCCAACTTTTTCAAGTTTTAATGTGACGCCTACAAAAATCACCAGTAAAATATTATGGTTTGCTCACTAAGTAATGGCTTAGGCACAGAAATGCCCTAAAATTAACAGCAATATCCTCTCGACAAAGCCCCTTTAAGTTCATTGTGTTTTTTACCTTCAGTAATAGTAATGTGTTGTTCTCTCACTTTCAGGGGCGCTGTTTTCTGCCACCGCATCTCTGGAAACCTTGTGTAATTTTCTTGGAGCTTTTATTTTCAACTCTATGTATCCTGCATCACTCAAGTTTGAATTTCCTGGTTTTGTGTTCTTTCTCGGGACCGTGATGTTGATAGTACCTGTGCTGCTCATGTGGTAGGTTGCAGACCCACAAGATAAAAAACATGAGAATCGTACATTTGTACTTCTGATGGGCTGGGGTTTTTTTTTCAACTTTTGACTGCGACCAACTAGCGAAAATCCATCAACACGACAAAAAGAAAAATGCCCCTGAAACCAGTAAAGCGCCGAGTTTCCCGGATTGTGCCAAGTTTCCCAGATTTCTGTTGACAGTTACCCTGTGTTCAACTGATCGTTTGCTTAAAAAGGCATGAAAACGAGGTTAAGCAGGGTTACGATCCTTTTGGTCTCGTCTCCAATTTGGCGCCATTGTCTTGACCAATCAGAAGCCAATTATTTGTTTGCACGCGTCTTCCCGCGTTTTTCATCGGCTACCGAACTGTATGTATTTGCCCCGAGAGCTCGTGTTCTGAACTTTATTTTTTGATTGTCCGTATCTATTGTGATTATTAGGTACTTGTGGTAATTTAACTAAAAGTAATGTAACCAATCTGACCAATAACAGGAATAGTGAATCCTGAATATAAACCGTTATGATCCGTCGAGGCGGCAGGTAGGGAGTAGATTTTGGCTTGAAAAGTCACGCGAGAGTTTTAGTATCAAGGGTTTTAATTTCTAATTTTTTTGATTTATCAGTTGTTTAAGAAACCCAGCAAGCTTCCTGTCGAAGAAGGACTTGTGTCGGTCAACACAGAAAGACAACATGGCGGACAGTTTACTGACTGACCCTGTCAGCGCCGTCATTGAATCAAGTGGATCCCCATTACCCAACCCTACCCTGACAGAAGACGGTTATGAAACAATGGGGTGATACTGCGTTCATTAAGTTTACAACTGAACTTAATTTGGAAGCGTTTTGACCGGAGGGGAGTGAAATATGAGCAACACTGGTCACATGAAGAGGCTGCTCGAAAATGATCATGAACCGAAGAGATTATCCATTTAGAAAGAAATAGATGTTAATCTTTAAAATTCTATTAATAGTCTTTCTCTTTTGATGTGATAGAAAAATGCTAAAGAAAATATCGTTTTTGGTTTACATCAAATTACTGTATTTCCGTATGAGCTATTGTAGCTAACAATGTAAATATAATGTCCCGGTAAATAAACTGGCATGAAATGCTACTTGGCATTTTTCACAAAAGAGATGGGGAGAAAATGAAAGTGGATGGTCGTCCATGCTAGTACATCGGGCATTTGTAAATTACACTAATAATTCAGTATTGTAAGCAGTAGCGTTACATGTTGTAATTGTGTCAACAACTAGGCGGGTTAGGACCTTTTTTGAAATTGATATTTCATGGCCCTAGGCTACTTTAAAACGAAACTATAAACACTTCGGTTAAAAATATGTGCCACCAATACTACTTATATATGCCATAAATAATTGCAAGCAAGTCGAACTGATTCTTAGTTCAGCGACCAATGAAAATGTAGAATTATAAATAATTTTTTTGAAATAAAATCACCATCTTCTTCGACAAAATTGTTGTTCTGAAGTCACCTTTTCTACTTTGATGTTATGCAATGTACATCGCCGAACATTTTTTATAATCACTTGAAACACAATACATTAAACTAAACGGCTGTTTTGAAATCATGCCCACGCTAGCTCAAGCTTAATCACAGCGTAAACAACTTCAAAATTGACAATCAAGACCTGAGTATACGATAAAATATAGAGAGGTCGAAGAACCTTTTGGTCCGCCCATTTTCATTTAATGCCGTTTTGGATTGTATCCTACTTGCGAGGGCGCCAGCGCGTCGAACGTTGTCACGTGAGCTTTCCGTCCGCCGTACTAGACCTGAAAGTTGGGAATAAAACCGCCCCTTCCCCCAGCCATGACACCATGACATAACTCTTGGGATATAGCTTGAATTGATATGTTATTTTAGCAATATTTATAATAACTACTTGTAATGACATACATTCATTTTTAAGAACCTTCGCTGCCGCTTGTCTGTGGTAAACGAAACACCAGCTACGTCGTAAGAGGGAACATCAGCTCCCCTCGCGCCTGGCCGTGGCAGACTGGAATCAAGCTGTCCAATGACAAGATACTATGCGGGGGATCTTTGATCAATAAAAAATGGGTGCTGACCGCAGCACATTGTGTTTATGGGCTGTTCAGAGGACTTACGGTTGACGCTACAGGATGCGTAGTTCCTCGCAAGCAAGTCACTTTGATATTTGGGGAGTTTGATGCCAGAAACATTGATGGGTACGAGGTCCACAAAAGTAAGTTGTATACTTTTAACACCACCGTTATATCTGTGGCGGAACTTTTCACACCTTCCGCTTAGTTCAACTTTCCACTCCACACCTCCCCTCATTTTCATGCATTCCAAGTTACGTCCATTTTTGAAAGTTTTACCGCTTTTAAATGCTGACGATTCATCGTGACTTCATTGGGTAAATTTGCCTTCGATCTTACTCACAGGAGCGGTATGAACAAATTGAATTCAAAAGTTGAAAGAGCTGCCGGTTAACTTCAGTTATCTGTGTACTTTGTAGCGGTATGTCACCATATTAAGGACATATCAGAAATGAAAACCTGCATAATTAATTACTGGTAAATACTACCTTACATTCTTTGTCCACTTTTTGGTTTTTTAAAACAGACTTTTTTCAAAAGTATTGATTTAACGGGCACAATTTTCAAGGATAGCTTATTGTGCCATGTTTTCTCGCTGCCCCTTTTAAGCCTTTTTCACTGCCTCTTTGCTTGCTAGTTTTATACCTTGATCACACTAGTGATGTGCGTGCGCTGATAAGCAAAACTGAATTGCAAACAGCGTCCGCGATCGCTCTTGACGGTTAAATGTAATAACGTATTATTTTTAGGGTTATTACGTGATAGCCTCTGTGTTTTTTACAGACATTTCCAAGATCTGTCCACACTCGAATTACAACCACGTGACTCTGGATTACGATATAGCGCTTCTTCTCTTGGAGTCTCCACTACTCGCCTTTAACGACACAATGAGTCCCGTATGTCTTCCAACGAGTCTAACCAGTTTTCCATCCGGGACCTACTGCTGGGTAACCGGTTTCAGCAAGAAGAGACGCACCAGACGAGACACCAATCTGCTACGTCAAGCCGAACTACCCCTGCAACCGCTGAGCTATTGCAGGCAGCAATATCCATTCTACACTATAACCTCTCGCATGCTCTGCGCTGGGTTTGAGGACGGGGGGATTGACAGTTGCCAAGGAGACAGCGGGGGCCCGCTTGTTTGCCAAGAAATTGAGAGCGGAAAATTTGTGCAAGTGGGCGTGGTCAGTTGGGCTAGCGCATGCGCACAGCCTGGGCAACCAGGGGTGTATACTGACGTGAAATATCTTCTTCCTTGGATTCATAAGATCATACGTTAAAGAGACAAACTAGTTTTATTTCATGGAATCTACTTAACACATTTGCTACAATAGATGTTGAGATTGTTAATTCGTTTGAAAAAAATTAACAATAAATACAATTAACTTTATTAGACGGTCATCTATGATAAAATTTAAAGACTATACTCTGACTATTTAAAATGGGCGAGCATGCAATAACTAGAGGTACAAGATTGTTGTATTCAGAGCACCAAATAGTTACACCCCTACTTGACGCAGGGTTAGGGACAAGCTTTCACCTCTTGTTTGCTCTCCTTTTTCTATACTCAACATTGGATTTTCAAGCAAACATTGGCATTGTAGGTATCTACACCAAACAGAAGTAAGTAAATTAGTTCTTTCCAGCTTTTCACAACAATCAATTTTGCAAAGTAATTAACACTTGCTCACACAAGCGTATTTTCCTCTAGACCGAATGAAAGTCATTTATTTTGTTGCTACGGTTTGTCATGCGAATGTCTAAGATCTGTTTGAGAAAAAGAAGAGACTGTTTTGCATCTTAACATTTTTCTGATTCGCCTGAATTGGAAGGTGTCCTTCCTACCTCATTGTAAGGTAAACATTTAAGACTGAGTGAAAATTGTAGTTTTTATTACAGAAAATTACCCCATTGTCATTAACAGTTACAGTTAGTAGGACCTCAATGGATCCTTGTTTATGGTTCAGGAGAAATCACACCATCGATCCACGTCCTAAAGTCCTTGATGTCAGTGTAAACGCCAGGCTGGTCTGCCTGTGCACATCCAACTCCCCAACTTGTGGCTCCAACGAGAACATATCTACCTCTATCTTTACACACGAAAGGACCACCACTATCGCCCTTACAGCTATCGATCTTCCCCGCCTGAAATCCGGCACAAATCATCCGGTCCGTAACAATATCTCCCGTGCGTTGAAGATAATTTTTCTTGCATTCGGCGTGATCCATTATTGGGACGTGGGCCACACGGAGTTTTCTGGAGACCCACCCATGTTGGCTCGTTTTACCCCATCCTGTCACTGAGCAGTTTGTCCCCGTCGGGAAGTTCTTTCCAGGGCTCGGAAGGCAGACTGGAAGCATGGTCTCGTTATAACCCGGAAGAGGGCTGTCAAATCTCAGGAGGGCAATATCGTTGTTGTAAATACTGTGATCGTATTCAGGATGCATACACACCTCTGATATGGCTGCAGAAACAATCAGAGGTATTAGAATCAAACACTAG